TCCCACGGAACGAGCTGCTAAAACAGCTTGTTCCCACAGCTCTCCGGATTAGTGCTGGTTCCGTACTACTAATTAGCTGCTAAAACAGCTTGTTTCCCACAACGCTCCGAGTTAGTGCAGGTTCGTACTTCTAATTAGCTGCTAAAACAGCTGTGTTCCCAGCAACTCTCCTAGTTAGTGCAGTTCGTACTTCTAATTAGCTGCTATAACACTGTTTGGGTTCCCAGCAACTCTCCGAGTTAGCGCAGGTTCGTACTCCTAATAGCTGCTAAACAGCTGTTTTCCAGCAACCTCTCCGGAGTTAGGCAGTTAGTACTTCTAATACAGCTAAATACAGCTGGGTTCCCACAACTCTCCGGAGTAATCGCAGGTACGTTTTAAATAGACTGCTAAAAACACTGTGTACCCCAGCAACTCTCCGGAGTTAGTGCAGGTTCGTACTTCTATTAGCTCTAAAACACTGTGTTCCCACAACTCTCCGGAGTTTAGTGCAGGTCGTACTTCTAATTAGCTGCTAAACCCTGTGTTCCCACAACTCTCCGAGTAGTGCAGTTCGTACTTCTAATTAGCTGCTAAAACAGTTGGTGTTCCCAGCAACTCTCCGGTTTAGTGCAGGTTTCGGTACTTCTAATTAGCTGCTAAAACAGCTGTGTTCCCAGAACTCTCCGGAGTTATCAGGTATCGTTTATAATTAGCTGCTAAAGCAGCTGTGTTCCCCGCAACTCTCCGAGTTAGTGCAGGATCGTACTTTTAATTAGCTGCTAAAACAGCAGTGTTCCCCCAGCAACTCTCCGGAGTTAGTGCAGTTCTACTTCTAATCGCTTGCTAAACACTGTGTTCCCACAGCTCCTCCGGAGTGAGTGCAGATCTGTACTTCTAATTAGCTGCTAAAAAGCTGTTGTTCCAGGCAACTCTCCGGAGTTAGCTCAGGTTCGTACTTCTAATTAGCTGCTAAAACGCTGTGATTCCCACACACCTCCTAGTTAGTGCAGGTTCGACTTCTAATTAGCTCTAAAACAGCTGTGTTCCAGCAACTCTCCAGAGTTAGCGCAGGTTTCTACTACTAATTTAGCTGCTAACAAACAGCTGTTTCCAGCCAACTCTCCGGAGTTTAGTGCCGTTTCGTACATCTAATTAGCTGCTAAAACACTGTGTTTCCCAGCAACTCTCCGGATTAGTGCAGTTCGTACTTCTATTAGCTGCTAAAACAGCTGTGTCCCAGCACTCACCGGAGTTAGTGCAGGTGAACGAGCTGCTAAAACAGCTGTGTCCCAGCAACTCTCTCAGGAGTAAGCGCAGGTTCGAACTTCTAATTAGCTGCTAAAACAGCCTGTGTTCCCACACACTCCGATTAGTGGCAGATTCGTACTTTTAATTAGCTGCTAAAACAGCTGTGTTCCACAACTCTCCGGAGTTATAGCAGGTTTCGTACTTCTAATTAGCTGCAAAAACAGCTTGTTCGCCAGCAGAGGCTCTCCGGAGTTAGTGCAGGATCGTAATTCTAATTTAGCTGCTCAAAACAGCTGTGTTCAGCAACTTCTCCGGAGTTAGTGCAGGTTCGTAACTTCTAATTAGCTGCATCACACAGCTGTGTTCCAGCAACTCTCCGAGTTAGTGCAAGTTCGTTTCCTAATTAAGCTGCTAAAACACAGTTTTTTCCCAGCAACATCTCGCGAGTTAGCGCAGGGTTCGTACTTCTAATTTATCTGCTAAAACGCGTGTGACCCAGCATAACTCCCCTCCGGAGTTAGTGCAGGTTCGTTTATAATTAGCTGCCCTAAAACAAGCTTTGTTTCCCAGCAACTCACCGGAGTTAGTGCAGTTCGTACTTCTAATACTGCTAATCACTTGTGTTCCCAGCAGCTCTCCGGAGTTAGTGCAGGTTCGTACTTCTAATTTAGCTGCTAAAACAGGCTGTTTCCAGCACCTCTCCGGAAGTTAGTGCAGGTTCTACTTCAATTAGCTGCTAAAACCAGCTGTGTTTCCCAGCAACTCTCCGAGTATGCAGGTTCGTACTTCTAATTAGCTGCTAAAACACTGTGTTCCACAACTCTCCGAGTAGTGCAGGTTCGTAATTCTAATTAGCTGCTAAAACAGCTGTGTTCCCAGCCAACTCTCCGGAGTTAGGCAGGTTTCTTTCTAATTAGCTGCTAAAACAGCTGTGTTCCCAGCACTTCTCCGGAGTTAGCGCAGTTCGTTACTTCTATTACTGCTAAAACAGCTGTGTTTCAGCAACTCTTCCGAGTTAGTGCAGGTTCGTACTTCTAATTAGCTCTAAAACAGCTGTGTCCCAGCAACTCTCCGGAGTTAGTGCAGGTTCTGTACTTCTAATTAGCTGCTAAAACAGCTGTGTTCCCAGCAACTCTCCGAGTTAGTGCAGGTCGTACTTCTATTACTGCTAAAACAGCTGTGTTACCCAGCATGCTGGCCTCTCCGAGTTAGTGCAGTTCGACTTCTAATTGCTGCTAAAACAGCTGTTTCCCACAACTCTCCGGAGTTAGTGCAGTTTCGTCTTCTAATTAGCTGCTAAAACATCTTGTGTTCCCAGCAACTCTCCGGAGTAAGTGCAGGATCGTTTCTAAATTAGCTGCTAAAACAGCTGTGTTCCAGCAGCTCTCTCAGAGTTAGTGCAGGTTCGTACTTCGAATTAGCTGCTAAAAAAAACAGCTGTGTTCCCAGCAACTCTCCGAGTAGTTGCAGGTTCGTACTTCTAATTAGCTGCAAAAACAGCTGTGTTCCCAGCAACTCTCCGGAGTTAGTGCAGGTTTAGTACTTCTATTAGCTGCTAATACAGCTGTGTTCCCAGCAACCTCCGCGAGTTAGTGCAGGTTCGTACTTCTAATTAGCTGCTAAAACAGCTGTGTTCCAGCAACTCTCCGGGTAGTGCAGTTCGTACTTCGAATTAGCTGCTAAAACCAGCTGTTTCCAGCAACTCTCCGGAGTTGAGTGCAGGTTCGTACTTCTAATTAGCTGCTAAAACAGCTGTGTTCCCAGAAACTCTCCGATTAGTGCATGTTCGTACTTCTAATTACTGCTAAAACAGCTGTGTTCACCAAGCAACTCCCGGAGTTAGAGCAGTTCGTACTTCTAATTTGCTGCTAAAACAGCGTGTACCCCAGCAACTCTCCGGATGTAAGTGCAGTTTCGTACTTCTAATTAGCTTGCTAAACAGCTGTGTTTCCCGAGCAACTCTCCGAGTTTAGTGCAGGTTCGTACTTCTAATTAGCTGCTAAAAACACTGTGTTCCCAGCAAACTCTCCCGGGTTATGCAGGTTCGTTACTTCTAATTTAGCTGCTAAAACAGCTGTGTTCCCAGCAACCTCCGGAGTTAGTGCATTTTCGTACTTCTAATCAGCAGCTAAAACAGCTGTGTTCCAGCAACTCTCCGGAGTTAGTGCAGGTTCGTACTTCTAATTAGCTGCTAACACAGCTGTGTTCCAGCCACCTCCGGAGTTAGTGCAGGTTCGTACTTCTAAATTTGCTGCTAAAACAGCTGTGTTCCAGCAACACTCCGGAGTTAGGAAGTTAAGTGCAGTTAGAACGAGCTGCTAAAACAGCTGTTTCCCCACAACTCTCCATTAGTGCAGGTTCGTACTTCTAATTAGCCTGTCTAGAACCAGCTGTTTCCCAGCAACTCTCCGGAAGTTAGTGCAGGTTAGAACGAGCAGCTAAAACAAGCTGTGTTCCCCAGCAACTTCTCCGGATTTCTGCAGTTCGTTTCTAACTATATCTCTTTTAATATTGAGGTCTGAATCAGAAAATCTATTTATGCTAATTGGGAAAATATTGATGCGTGTGAACGACCAATATTGTCGGTATGGTACTAATAAAAACAAAATTTGATACATCAAACTGGGCAATCTTGTGTGATTGTCGGCTTGGAGATGGCTAAAGTGAAGGATCTTGACCTGGGGGTCTGAATCGTCATCTTCTTAACAGCTTTCTCTTTAAAAGGTATCTTTGTTTTCGCACGTTTTGAGTGGGTCGATCATATTTGATTGTTAGGGACGAAATAAGTGGAGACTCTCTCTTCGTCCCCAACAATCAAACCTAACTCTTACCTAGCACGGTATTATTCAGTATGAAATAAGTGTATGTCCTAACTATGTTTTTCTGTGCCAATTACTCAGTTTGGAGGTATTATTTTTCAACAAAGTGAAGTGAATTACTAAGTCATATAAAGTTTCTAGAATTAAATCTAAAATATTTAAAACTTAACGAAATCCCCTCGGCGAACGCGCGTTGCCTATGCTTTATATACTCAATAAACTACTCACATTGCTCGATAGGCACACACTACCGCTCACTTTTGGTTGGTGATTGATATTTTTTTCGATGCGGTAAAAAGTTCGTTTAGGGAATCGGAATACTTACAGCGTTGTCGTCCATAGTAAAATAAAATTCATAATTTTCTACCGTACAGAGCTAAACGATGAAGATAAATTAATTAAAAAAAAGCTGATTTTTAAAATTTTCCTCGAACAAAGCTTTTCGACTTACGGGTTTCTAGTACATTAATATTTTTATAATACTTTACAACACACATTTAAATTGTTTTTATTTTCAGAATCATCTAATCTCTAAAAATTAATTAAAACTGAGATGAAAATTAACATTGTCGTTAAAAGTATAAGTTATATAAACATAAATCTGAAAATTCCATGCTCCCGTGAACGATATACTGTAACAAAACAGTTTTTACCCATTAAAAAACTAAATCGCATTATATAAACCTCCAACAGTATTCTAATAAAGTTATTAGAGTCTAGAAACAATTAGAAAATAATCCCCAATCAATCTATAATAATGTTTCAACTGATATTTCAAACGTCTCTTCAAAAATCAGTTAACATCATAAACGTTTTTCATTATCCGCTGCTCTGTTCTCCTATAATACAGTTTTGTTCTCGGGCGTTTTCTTCTCTGGCTTGAATTCGAGTACAGGCATAAGGGTCGAGAGACCACCTCTTTTACTCATCACTCACGTCTCAACTTAATCATCACGCATCGGATACACAAAACAACACCGCAAAGAAATCCTCTATGGGGTACCGTTTATTCCGTAACGGTTCCTAATGGATACCTGGTTGCTGTGAATATAACTAACGAACCCAGGTATAATACCCAGCCCAACGCGTAGATACCATCCTGCTTTCCAGTGAGCACTGTGGAGGATAGCCAAATCTCTTACGATCATGAGGGCTATCCAGACTAGCCACACAATCCTGCCCCCAATAGAGGCCCACAAACCTTCCATCTTGTGTTTCTTCAGGCAGCTGTATCCGGGTCATTGCCTGAAGTTTACCTCTTATCAAACTCAAAACTTTGGGTGTAAGGTGAGTAATAATCTGAGTATTGATAGGTAAGAAATTCTGAATCTGAAAAAAGCAACGAAATTGATGTTAACTTACGCGACAACAATGTTTTTGAGGAAGCCAAGCCAAAGTTAGGTCGCATTGTAGAGAAAGGACAATGAAGGGAAATTGTACAGTCAGTCCATAGGGAGTCAGATCTCCCAACCTCCATAGCAGTGCTCGCCAATGTTGCTAGGTTATCAAAACAGAGGAATAAAGTGTAGGGTAAACTGCAGCAACACTCGCCGTCTGTAAAATGTTTTTTATAAAGAGCACTCTAGGAGTACTAAGGTTACTAGATTAAACTGCCGAATTTTGCATATAATGATTTTAATAAATAAACAAAGCTTTTAATTTGAAGAATTCAAATAATAATAATGGGCCTATTCATTGTTAATAGAGGTATACATATAGTAAAGAGAATGATTACCTGGAGAGCTTTAAGAGAACAGTTCCTCCCCGCCACAAGAAGTGCAGTAGCTTGATCTCCTTCAACTAGAGCCCAAATATTCTTTGAAAGATTGCGGGTCCTTGGTCCCCGCCGCATCCCATAATTCTATCACAAACTACCTGTGTTTATAGTTTAATACCAGGGTCGTGATCCTTTTGTATTGCCTGAAATCGATATTTTTGGGCTCGAAATGAAAATACATAATTCATGCTGTCAAACTGTTTTAAGTTTGCATATTTTTTTCCTTCTTCCGTTTAATGATCGACTATCGGTGTCATGAAGTGTGTAATATTCCTGAGTCGAACAGGTAACGAAGTAGTGGATAATACACAGTGAAATAACGGACAGAAAGGTCCCAGTCTCCGTAGGTGGACACTTGTTGCAAACCACGATCTCCTCAATTGCCATGCAAGACAGACTCGCGCGGCTTCTACAGTGATTTATTTGAAAATTTCAATTTATCATTATATAATATAATATAAATCAAGCGTTACATGTCAGCATGCAAAATTACAAGACATATTTTGATATACAAGTTGATAAATGGTAACTGCAATATAAGTTGCTTAAGTTGGGCCGATGAACAACTAACGAGAAAAATAAGCTTGATTACATTATAAATAATACGCTGAACCAACACATAGCAAGAGCCACATTAACGTTGAGGCCGTATATAAAGCAGATGTAAGTGGGACTGGGACTGACTCACAATTTACAGTTCAGCCACTATGTCACTTAAACCATGTCTACCGATATTATATTACAAAGTTGTAAATAAGTCTACTGTCATCCTGACCCGATATTTTGCCAGCCCACCTCTGGTTATTGATAACATAGTCCCACCACGTTCTCACTGTAGCACCCTTGTTTGTTTTCAAGTAAACTGATAACCATCCCCAGCTACAACTGTTGCAGTTTGCCCCTATTTCATTACACGCACTGAAGGTACTCCGCTTCCTGCCCAAAGCTTGCTAACTGAGGTGATGTATTAGATTATTATTCTTCTAAATAGTAATGGATCTGACTAAAAATAACAGGATTATAATAAGAATACAGGTTGCCCAGAAGTAAACTGCCCACACGCAACCCTTTAATAACCACGTAATTCTTCTAGAATTGCACCGATATTTTCAGAGATTACAGATATGGTCAACTTAGATTTACCTGAACGTTTCGTAAAATTTTAATTATGCAGGGGTGTGGAAATTGTGCAAGCCCAATCCCTCTTTTTTGCATTGTCTCCAAAAGTGATAACGCTTTCATCTTGGAAAACTCAAATGTTCTAGACATATTTTGTTGATAATATTGATAGTGCTTTCCCAAACTGTCAAGTAGGATTGTTCACAATTTAGAGCCGAGTTATGGACCCTTTTAAGAAATATTCAGATACGTGATCTCGGAACTCCAATCATGATTTCGTCGCCCAATCAGACTCACATCGGACTAGTCACTAGCGAGCAACAATGAGCCTCAAAAGGGCGTAACGAGCATTTGGTGGATGATGATCACGATAGTTTGAGTAATACTGATTGAACTGATAGTGACGTTCCTTAAAAAGAAGAAATTCGCGTTTATAGCGTAAAAAAACTCGGTTGCTGTCCTATACGCATTCATCCAACTTTGAAGTTTGCTAGCTGAAGCGTTCTCACTTTATGGTGACAATAGTGAAAAAGGAGGGAAATGGGTGCACACCACTTTGATTTATTACATTGACGATACTTTCATGTCAATCTAAGTTTTGATCCATATCTATAATCTCGAAATTATCCTGTGCAATTCTAAGAATAATTACGTGAGTTATTTTAACGGGATGCGTGTGGCAGTTACTTCTGGGCCACCCTGTATATATATATAATATACATTTTATAATATATTATATATAAACCTGAGCATTGACCAAAGAATTGGTGGTAAACCTGGACGTCATAGATTCCAAGACGGTTGAGTTCCATTTGGGACAACACAATCCAGACTTAGCAGCTAGCCTCTCGTCTTGAATAGCAGCTCCTCCGAATATAGTGAGCCACATGAAGGAGTAGATCATGGGTGGCTGTCAGTGCCCCTGTACGTTTTACACTCATGTTAACCCAACACTCATGTTACAATCAAGTTAACATCATGTAACACTCATGTTATTATACCAAGTTTAGCAAACTACTGCTTCACTCAGTTTCACGTGTTAATTGTGGCATTTTCAGGGTCTTTGAGCTTTCACTATTTCAATCAACAATAATGTCAACCAATACTCCACACACATAAGCATATCAAAGTGTCTTAACCGTTTGATAAACTGTCGTATGGTTCTGCCGCGAGATATTTAGCGATAAAACCTGCCCCCAATGGGGACCACGAGATCCACCAGCCCAGTAGAAAATAGTCCATCCGTCCATCCAGTTCTCAGGACCGTCTCCTTCTCCATCTAGGTATCCTCTACCTGCAGTCAATATTTCAGTTTAGTCCTGTAGTACACTTTAAACCTCAGGTTCCGCTTAAATAATAAAATTTTAACGACGAAGTTTTCATATCGGAATTATTTTTGCTTTCTGTTTCCAATTTACCTCGGTCAGCAGCCCCGTAAGACTTGGAACTGAGTTCAAATGCGTCACAGTGGAAGCCTAGCTGCAATATCCACTGTATGTAGAAACCAATACTCTGACAGTAAAGGTTGAGTAAATACCTGCAAGGTCACGTGTTAATGTCACGTGTTAATGTCACGTGTCAATGTCACGTGTCAATGTTCCTCAGTTTGGTTTACAACTCGAGATAACCCATCTTAGTCCTCACTCTAGGCTCACATCTTAAAATGCTAACGAACATATTATACTCAATGGTAAAAACCAATGTAAAGGAAATCGCTCGCTATTTCACATAATATGATGAACCCCACTATCTCAGTAAGATATATAGTGGGGTACAGTAAGAATTCCACGTACCATGTATCCTCCAGGAAGAGCACCATGAGCATGATAACCATACCCAGTCCGAAGCAGATCTCACTAAGACGCCTGATACCCACACCTACCCCGGATATAACGGACAGGGTAGCCACTGCTGTGATCGCCCATATGATGATTACCTGGTTAATGTTAAGGTCACGTTTCAAGGTCACGTGTCAATATCACGTGTCAATATCACGTGTCAAGGTCACTGCTGTGATTGCCCAGATGATGATTACCTGGTTTCCAGTGCTCACTGCGATATCTTCGTTCAAATAGTTTAGTCCTGGGGGGAGGTAAGATTAGTGTGTACTTTGAAGGGTCTTGGTGGACTATTTCCTTGTTGAGTAGCCAAAAGGCAGGCCCGGGGAGGCGGTCACAAATGGCTATAACTACAAAGGGCATAGAGCTGTACTTAATTTAGCAGATTTTAAAGATAAGAGTATTTAACAAGTTCATCTAATAACAGAAACATTGAACACCAAATGTTATATAATTATGTTCAAGTATAAACTATACCTTTGTTAACCTGCATAGTTCCCAACCCCAGAGATGTACACACTCCAAACAACGTAGTCAGAATAGAGAAGATATCAATCAAATCTCCGATCCAACCATAGATCCTATCCCCAATCAGAGGGTAGAAACAAGTTTTCATGGTCATTGGCATTCCCTTCCTAAAGGTCAGGAACCCCAGGATGATACCTATAACCACGTACACAATCCAGCCGTGTATTCCCCAGTGGAAGAATGTCAGGTTGATAGCCCACTGGGCCAGTTCGTTGTCCGGCATGTATTTGTCTGCGGTGTAACGGTTGGGTCCCACGTAGTGCCACACTGGCTCAGAAACACCGAAGAAGAAGAGGCCAACTCCAACACCGCACGCGAACAACATGGCGAACCAAGTACCATCGTTATACTCCGGCTTTTCGTCATCTTGTCCTGATAAAGTAGGCTGTTCTTACAGGGACATCCAAAACCTCAAAACTCATAATTCACCATTTATAAGACCTTTTATTTCAAAAACATTTTTTTCAGAGTTTGTTATAAAACAGAGCGTATAAAGTTAACATTTAATCTACAGTTGGCGCTTAAAGTTCTTGTTGAAATGACAAACTGACCCATCTTGAGCTTGCCATATTTGCTGAAGTAGATAGCAATAATAGCCAGTGCCCATACGTCCTGAGACCCCACATACAGCCACGTAAAGGTTGTGGTTATCCAGGTTTTAGCAGAACCAAAACTCTCATTTGCATCTGGGGTGTTCTCAATGTTACAAACAGGGCGGGTAGTGAAATTGGCTGGTAACACGCTGTCACAAAAAATGAAAAATGAAAGCAAAACAAGTCCCTTTTTAAAGTTGTTAAACATAATAATATATTTAATTACTATAATTACTATAATTACTATAATTACTATAATTACTATAATTACTATAATTACTATAATTACTATAATTACTATAATTACTATAATTACTATAATTACTATAATTACTATAATTACTATAATTACTATAATTACTATAATTACTATAATTACTATAATTACTATAATTACTATAATTACTATAATTACTATAATTACTATAATTACTATAATTACTATAATTAAATATGGTAACTCACGTTCCTTGGCAAGAATGCACCACAAAATAAACGCGAGGATCAAAAGAAAACTAACAACAGAAACTAGAGGGTTAAGTTTAATCTTGAGAGGCCCAAGTTCAGCCTTGAACCACAAGCTTTTATCCACTATCTTGGCTCCCTTCCATGTTGGTTTAGGAGGGGGGTCAATGTCCCGTACTACCACTGGTGTGCTCATGGTGGACTCTTGAGGTGAAGAGACGCTGTTAGGGTTAGATTCAGGGTTGGGATAAAAGTCATTGGGTAGGTGTTCCTTATCATGAACCTCTACAGCCTCCATTAAATATAACAATACACAAATATTAACACGTGCGTCGGACAATTACTGTTCTAGAGACGCTTAGGTAGCCATTTTATGTGAGATATATGACTTTAGATATTTATATTGTGCAAGCAGATCAGTTAAAAGATCATTTAATTGATATTAAAAAGTCGTGATAAGTAATATCACGTGTTATATCGCGTGTATTTAAATAGTTGGGTATGACATAAAGGTTCAACGAGCCTCAGCCCTTGAATAGTGCACGCGAGCGCAAGCTCGATAAGAATATGGAACTGTCTTGGAAGAACATAGTGTAAATGATGATAGTGCACAAAAAGGGACGACCAGCTGCAATGGTGAGATGAACAGAAATAAATAAACAATGACACGGTAGCAGTAGTGCAGGACTGGTATTGTTTAGATAAGAGTTAGAACAACACTACTGCAGGAAACTGCAGAAAACTGCAGTCACGTGACATGAATATAGACACCATTTAGGTAGATGATATATCATCATCTCGAGTAAGCAAGTTGTATAACACTAGACGCCATTTTCATTTTTAATTCTTTTGTTTTAAATCATTACAAGCTTCCTCCCCAGGACTAATTAGTGGCTTGTTCAGGTAGTTCGGAGATATCACGAGCCTATCAGAGGTGCTGTAGAACACTGGATACCCGTCCTTTGGTCTGCGATGAGAACCAGGTATTATGTTCATATTATTCTAATATGTTTCATCATAGAACCAGATATTGAATATCCTTGTTCCATCATAGAACTAGATATTGAATATCCTTGTTCCATCATAGAACTAGATATTGAATATCCTTGTTTCATCATAGAACCAGATATTGACTATCCTTGTTTCATCATAGAACTAGATATTGAATATCCTTGTTTCATCATAGAACCAGATATTGAATATCCTTGTTTCATCATAGAACCAGATATTGAATATCCTTGTTTCATCATAGAACTAGACATTGAATATCCTTGTTTCATCATAGAACCAGATATTGAATATCCTTGTTTCATCATAGAACCAGATATTGAATATCCTTGTTTCATCATAGAACTAGATATTGAATATCCTTGTTTCATCATAGAACCAGATATTGACTATCCTTGTTTCATCATAGAACTAGATATTGAATATCCTTGTTTCATCATAGAACCAGATATTGAATATCCTTGTTTCATCATAGAACCAGATATTGAATATCCTTGTTTCATCATAGAACTAGATATTGAATATCCTTGTTTCATCATAGAACCAGATATTGAATATCCTTGTTTCATCATAGAACCAGATATTGAATATCCTTGTTTCATCATAGATCTGCTGTTCGCACCAGATATTGAATATCCTTGTTTCATCATAGAACCAGATATTGAATATCCTTGTTTCATCATAGAACTAGATATTGAATATCCTTGTTTCATCATAGAACTAGATATTGAATATCCTTGTTTCATCATAGAACCAGATATTGAATATCCTTGTTTCATCATAGAACTAGATATTGAATATCCTTGTTTCATCATAGAACCAGATATTGAATATCCTTGTTTCATCATAGAACCAGATATTGAATATCCTTGTTTCATCATAGATCTGCTGTTCGCAGTAATTCCAGCTTGCTAAGTGATATCTTATACATATTTTATCTGTATATATCTTATACGTATTACGTATATAATATCTTTATTTTAAATGTTTCGTTAACATAAATATTTGTACAGGTAAAAGAAGAGATACGAAAGAAGCTGTCCACAACCAAGGGTTACAACGTCGCTCACACCTACATCGACTGTTATGATAACCTTGTCAAATTGGTCAGTATAATTAATATGATTAATTAATTAATTAATGTGATTAATATCATAGGTTCCATGTATTGAACTCTAACAATGCTCAGCTAACTGTTTATTAGAGTATTTTTAAATCATGAAGTTCAAGATGTTGTTACTTTTAAACGTTGAAGATTCCCTTATCCTGAGAACAGTCTTTTCCTTGTCGCAAAAACAGGAACACTACAAATTTGACCCTAGAATTATCAGAAGTACCGGTTGTAAAACTAATCGCCTCAGGATGGCCCTAAGAACAGAGGAGGAGTGCTGTACTTCCTAACCCTACTCTCCGACTCCAAGTCTAAGAGCGACGTAGTGGCCCTACTGAAGACCAACCCTGCTTCTTCCTTCAGACAGAGCGACTCTACTGCTGTAGCTCCGTGTGTGCTTCCTAACAGGGACCTGGCTGTTAAGAACAGGTTAGTGGAGTTGTCTTCCATCATAGAATAACTGTGTTATCTTGTTGCTTTTGTCCGTCCTTCTGCACTTGAAGGACAGTGAAACCACCTATACTGACATTGAAGAAAATGATAATACTCTCATTCCTTTAGGTGTAAATCCAGCCAGGTCATGGTATATGTCACAAATGTTTGCCATAAATTAGTTCGATCTTTGCATCTTAATCTTGAATGCAAGGTCAGCTCAAATCTGAGGTCCATCTTTTAGCTCTCATTAGGATATAATATCTTTCAGATGGGTTTTATATTATTAGCCAAAAACCTGAAAAATGCGGTGGACTCTAATAAACAGCTCTCCTAATGATAAATGACTGACAGCTACAGTTTCAGGAACGAGTTGCTGGTGAAGCCTAGGTATGCAACTGTTGTGTAGTAACCATAGTAACCGTAGTAACCGTAGTAACCGCAGGAATGAGGTGCTGGTGAAGCCGAGGTATGCAACTGTTGTGCTCTCTCCGGAGACGTTTGATGGTTACAGCGAGGCTGATCTGGTCCGGGACCTTCTCTTTGTGTTTCAGGGAATAGCTACTAACGCTATCAGGTAACCGTAGTAACCGTAGTAACCCTAGTAACCATAGTAACCATAGTAACCGAAGTAACCCTAGTAAATTAGTAACCGTAGTAACCATCGTAAATTAGTAACCGTGATAACCGTAGTAATCATAGTAACCGTATTAACCTTAGTAAATTAGTAACCGTAGTAACCATCGTAAATCAGTAACCGTGATAACCGTAGTAACCGTAGTAATCATAGTAACCGTAGTAACCTTAGTAACCAGATTCACTGTACCTTCACTGTTAACAATCTGTCTAAGTAATAAAATCCACCTTAGATCCCTAGATGCCTTTCAAATTCGGTTAGTTGAACCCCACATGGCCACATAGTTGAACCCCGCCGTATGGTATTTGCTAACTTCACAAGATTGTGTGATTGTCAAGTGGGAAGCAAGTAGGATGTGTTACGTGCCAAACTAACAACTAAACTAACAACTAAACTAACAACTAAACTAACAACTAAACTAACAACTAAACTAACAACTAAACTAACAACTAAAATAACAACTAAACTAACAACTAAACTAACAACTAAACTAACAACTAAACTAACAACTAAACTAACAACTAAACTAACAACTAAACTAACAACTAAACTAACAACTAAACTAACAACTAAACTAACAACTAAACTAACAACTAAACTAACAACTAAACTAACAGCTACACTAACAACTAAACTAACAGCTACACTAACATTATCAGGTGGGAAGCAAGTAGGATGTGTTACGTGCCAAACTAACAACTAAACTAACAACTAAACTAACAACTAAACTAACAACTAAACTAACAACTAAACTAACAACTAAACTAACAACTAAACTAACAACTAAACTAACAACTAAACTAACAACTAAACTAACAACTAAACTAACAACTAAACTAACAACTAAACTAACAACTAAACTAACAACTAAACTAACAACTAAACTAACAACTAAACTAACAACTAAACTAACAACTAAACTAACAACTAAACTTACAACTAAACTAACAACTAAACTAACAACTAACATTATCAGGTGGGAAGCAAGTAGGATGTGTTACGTGCCACAGCCCGCTATAAAACTACCTAAACCTAAGCTGGATCTAGCGTGCAAGTTAGCAGAGCTGGGATTCCTTTACAAACAGATAAAGAGCTTTGTGGACCAGCGGTTATCTGAGCAGTCGTACGGGCTGATTGGTCAGTTAGGATTCCTAGTTACCTTTATTGAAACTTTATTGAAAATCTTTATCTTGAAGGGACCATAACTTGTTACAGCCATAACTTACTCTTGAGGTGTAAATTATTTCAAGATTACCACTATCGTGAACTCAATAAATGTAATTATCATTTGTGTAGGTCAGGCGTTCTGTAGTGCGATTATGCAGGAGCTCAGGGAATATTACCGACTGATTGCTACCTTGGAGAACCAGGTTGGAGAATAATTATGTAATTAGTATTAATTATGTAATTATTTATTGTTAATTATTATTAGTTATTTGTTTTATAGTAGTTGTACAGCAATACTAATGTATTGGGACTACTGCGGACCCTCTACCGGCCAAACCTTGTTAACAAAGCCACAGTCAAGGTTCGGTAGTTAAATTTGTTTTATGTTCTTATTGTCGTGTTTGCTTTCTTCTTTTCTTGAGTCGACTCAGTTAGAAGTGGAATATTGGAGATTTGGAAATTAAATCGGACTTTTAATAACAAAGATTAACGAATTTTCCTCATAATCATCTGAGGGCCAAACCCTTTGCCCAAAAATAAAACTAAAACGTATATGGTGATGAAATGTAAAGAAACAAGGTCTCGATAAACATTCAAAAGAAATGTCAAAAAATTATATAAAGTAAATGGAGGGAAAGCTACGGGCATTATTTAAGTGGTACAGATAAGCGATGCATGATAAAATTACGGATGTAGCTCGACTTGTAATTTTATCTATTGTTTAACACCGGTGTCTAACTGAACATGTGTTTATTCAGATCAACCTGTAACCTGAAGAACATAATATATTATATCAGCTAAACAATAGACAGTAGACAGTTCACTGTCTTTTAATTTTGAAGATAACCTTGAAGGGTCCTTTTGATGCGGACAATTCATTTCATAGTACTATCTTTATAGTACACTATAATGTACTGAAGGGGAATCTTAAGAAGAATCTTTATCTTTTGGCAGGGCCCCTCAAAGTCAATCACGTTTCCGGCTGAGTTTACCGAAAGGGTTAAAATGCTTTTAACCAGTTTCCAGAGCCCAGTACGTCAAAGCAATTACAAATGGTTTATGCGTTGATGTAATTACACCAACCTCTCTCTCCTCAGAACACACTAGGAAAGCTAACCTCTCTCTCCTCAGAACACACTAGGAAAGCTAACCTCTCTCTCTCCTCAGAACACACTAGGAAAGCTAACCTCTCTCTCTCCTCAGAACACACTAGGAAAGCTAACCTCTCTCTCTCCTCAGAACACACTAGGAAAGCTAACCTCTCTCTCTCCTCAGAACACACTAGGAAAGCTAACCTCTCTCTCTCCTCAGAACACACTAGGAAAGCTAACCTCTCTCTCTCCTCAGAACACACTAGGAAAGCTAACCTCTCTCTCTCCTCAGAACACACTAGGAAAGCTAACCTCTCTCTCTCCTCAGAACACACTAGGAAAGCTAACCTCTCTCTCTCCTCAGAACACACTAGGAAAGCTAACCTCTCTCTCTCCTCAGAACACACTAGGAAAGCTAACCTCTCTCTCTCCTCAGAACACACTAGGAAAGCTAACCTCTCTCTCTCCTCAGAACACACTAGGAAAGCTAACCTCTCTCTCTCCTCAGAACACACTAGGAAAGCTAACCTCTCTCTCTCCTCAGAACACACTAGGAAAGCTAACCTCTCTCTCTCCTCAGAACACACCAGGAAAGCTAACCTCTCTCTCTCCTCAGAACACACTAGGAAAGCTAACCTCTCTCTCCTCAGAACACACTAGGAAAGCTAACCTCTCTCTCCTCAGAACACACTAGGAAAGTTGTCTCTACACCGACTACTAGTCTGGTCACATGACACCTTCGACCAGCTCCGACTCCTCTCCTCACTGTGTGTCCAGGCTGGCTACCTGAACGGGGGCGCCCTAGCTTCTAGTCTACACACCTTCCTGCAGTATGGGGACCCTAACTTCCACTTACTCGTTAAGAAGGTATGATGTGGGCTCTTTGTAACCGGGTAGTATTATAAGCAATTAACTTTCATTTTTGCGTTGCATTTGAAGTGGAAATGGCATGCAAACTGGTATTTAGTAGCCAGTAACTTTATAACAATTTGTTGTGTAACATTCTGTTCAAGTCATTAATGATGTTTCAAATAGTATCTAAAACTGTAGAAACCTTTGGGGGCGTTGTGGAACGTTGCACTGAGTCCCACTATAACATGGTGTATTGCAGGTGCTGCATATAACCACCCGCCCCCTGCTGGAGATGCTGAGAAGATGGATCTACGAGGGAGAGTGTTGTGACGCGTACGGAGAGTTCTTCATAACAGTGGACAGTGACACCCCTGAGGACCTGTTGTGGGAGAGCAAGTACAGTATCAGACTGGAGATGTTACCCAGCTTCATATCTAAACAGATGGCCGAGAGGATCCTTCTCATCGGTTAGAAGATATCTTGTTTATTAATTGCTACTAATTACTACTAATTACTGCTCATTACTGCTAATTACTAACACACTAACACACTAACACATACCACTCTCTCCCAGGTAAAACTATAAACTTTATCCGTGTAGTGTGCCGGGACCACTCTCCCATCAATTTTCCTTTCTCCACGGTTGCTACAACTAACCAGGGCCTCAACGATATCATCGGACCTGACCTTAACGGCCACGTCTCCGAGGTAAGCTTCCAAACGTTGAGCATTTCCAATGCTATTTATAAATAGTTCAATGGCCTGGTATCCTTATGATAACCTAAAAGTAGTTGTGAAGTATTATATATTTTGACTCCTACTCTCCTAATACTGCTATTGTTTCAGGTGTATAAGATAACGTCGTCTCATTTGATTGGGCTGCTGAAGAAGAAGTATTTGTTGTGTGAGCATCTCACTGCTATCAGGGACTATCTCTTGCTCGGCCAGGTTAGCCTCTCACAGTAATTAGTCACTTAATTAATATATAATTAATAAAACATTAATAGTAAAATTTAAAAATGCTGAATGTACTGCACCTAGTATATTTCATAATAATTATAAAAATAACAAATGATAACTTTAAATACAAACCTTGCCACTTCATGATCTTGATTGAAGGATGACTTCTTATTATTCTGAATGACTATTTCAGGGTGATTTTATCCAACATCTTATGGATCTGATTTGTAAGGATCTGTCCGGATTGTCCAGTTCTCTCCAAACTTCCATGCTCCAGTCTAAACTAGAGGTATGATATTAAATTATAATATTTTGATGATTTAACTAATGCTATCAGCTATATATCAGCTATATATCAGCTATACCTATATAGTATATATCACTATGTAAGTATCATTATCAGTTCAATTGCGTGAATCCTCCATCTGCGAAAAACCCAAAACCGCTCTCCTGTTACTTCAACAAGTTTCTCGTGGTTAATGATTGTGTATTTTCTATTTTAGTTCGATCAGCTAACGGCACTAACACAATATGACACTCCCACAGACGGCGCAGCGTGCAACAAACGCGCAGTACCACAACGTGGACGTTATCCGGCGTTACTAACACATGACACTCCCACAGACCGCGCAGCGTGCAACAAACGCGCAGTACCACAACGTGGACGTTATACTAACACGTGACACTCCCACAGACCGCGCAGCGTGCAACAAACGCGCAGTACCACAACGTGGACGTTATCCGGCGTGTGAGTGTGATTAAGTTGGAGGAGAGTGGTGGAGATACGGGCTGGGATGTGTTTACTATAGACTACGTGCTGAACTGCCCGCTCACTGTCATTGTTAATCAGGACAGTAGGGAAACTTACCTCTGTATATTCAGGTTAGGTGGCAGGGAAACTTACCTCTGTATATTCAGGTTAGGTGGCAGGGAAACTTACCTCTGTATATTCAGGTTAGGTGGCAGGGAAACTTACCTCTGTATATTCAGGTTAGGTGGCAGGGAAACTTACCTCTGTATATTCAGGTTAGGTGGCAGGGAAACTTACCTCTGTATATTCAGGTTAGGTGGCAGGGAAACTTACCTCTGTATATTCAGGTTAGGTGGCAGGGAAACTTACCTCTGTATATTCAGGTTAGGTGGCAGGGAAACTTACCTCTGTATATTCAGGTTAGGTGGCAGGGAAACTTACCTCTGTATATTCAGGTTAGGTGGCAGGGAAACTTACCTCTGTATATTCAGGTTAGGTGGCAGGGAAACTTACCTCTGTATATTCAGGTTAGGTGGCAGGGAAACTTACCTCTGTATATTCAGGTTAGGTGGCAGGGAAACTTACCTCTGTATATTCAGGTTAGGTGGCAGGGAAACTTACCTCTGTATATTCAGGTTAGGTGGCAGGGAAACTTACCTCTGTATATTCAGGTTAGGTGGCAGGGAAACTTACCTCTGTATATTCAGGTTAGGTGGCAGGGAAACTTACCTCTGTATATTCAGGTTAGGTGGCAGGGAAACTTACCTCTGTATATTCAGGTTAGGTGGCAGGGAAACTTACGTTACCTCTGTATATTCAGGTTAGGTGGCAGGGAAACTTACCTCTGTATATTCAGGTTAGGTGGCAGGGAAACTTACCTCTGTATATTCAGGTTAGGTGGCAGGGAAACTTACCTCTGTATATTCAGGTTAGGTGGCAGGGAAACTTACCTCTGTATATTCAGGTTAGGTGGCAGGGAAACTTACCTCTGTATATTCAGGTTAGGTGGCAGCAGGGAAACTTACCTCTGTATATTCAGGTTAGGTGGCAGGGAAACTTACCTCTGTATATTCAGGTTAGGTGGCAGGGAAACTTACCTCTGTATATTCAGCTTAGGTGGCAGGGAAACTTACCTCTGTATATTCAGGTTAGGTGGCAGGGAAACTTACCTCTGTATATTCAGGTTAGGTGGCAGGGAAACTTACCTCTGTATATTCAGGTTAGGTGGCAGGGAAACTTACCTCTGTATATTCAGGTTAGGTGGCAGGGAAACTTACCTCTGTATATTCAGGTTAGGTGGCAGGGAAACTTACCTCTGTATATTCAGGTTAGGTGGCAGGGAAACTTACCTCTGTATATTCAGGTTAGGCGGCAGGGAAACTTACCTCTGTATATTCAGGTTAGGCAGCAGGGAAACTTACCTCTGTATATTCAGGTTAGGTGGCAGAGAAACTTACCTCTGTATATTCAGGTTAGGTGGCAGGGAAACTTACCTCTGTATATTCAGGTTAGGTGGCAGGGAAACTTACCTCTGTATATTCAGGTTAGGTGGCAGGGAAACTTACCTCTGTATATTCAGGTTAGGTGGCAGGGAAACTTACCTCTGTATATTCAGGTTAGGTGGCAGGGAAACTTACCTCTGTATATTCAGGTTAGGTGGCAGGGAAACTTACCTCTGTATATTCAGGTTAGGTGGCAGGGAAACTTACCTCTGTATATTCAGGTTAGGTGGCAGGGAAACTTACCTCTGTATATTCAGGTTAGGTGGCAGGGAAACTTACCTCTGTATATTCAGGTTAGGTGGCAGGGAAACTTACCTCTGTATATTCAGGTTAGGTGGCAGGGAAACTTACCTCTGTATATTCAGGTTAGGTGGCAGGGAAACTTACCTCTGTATATTCAGGTTAGGTGGCAGGGAAACTTACCTCTGTATATTCAGGTTAGGTGGCAGGGAAACTTACCTCTGTATATTCAGGTTAGGTGGCAGGGAAACTTACCTCTGTATATTCAGGTTAGGTGGCAGGGAAACTTACCTCTGTATATTCAGGTTAGGTGGCAGGGAAACTTACCTCTGTATATTCAGGTTAGGTGGCAGGGAAACTTACCTCTGTATATTCAGGTTAGGTGGCAGGGAAACTTACCTCTGTATATTCAGGTTAGGTGGCAGGGAAACTTACCTCTGTATATTCAGGTTAGGTGGCAGGGAAACTTACCTCTGTATATTCAGGTTAGGTGGCAGGGAAACTTACCTCTGTATATTCAGGTTAGGTGGCAGGGAAACTTACCTCTGTATATTCAGGTTAGGTGGCAGGGAAACTTACCTCTGTATATTCAGGTTAGGTGGCAGGGAAACTTACCTCTGTATATTCAGGTTAGGTGGCAGGGAAACTTACCTCTGTATATTCAGGTTAGGTGGCAGGGAAACTTACCTCTGTATATTCAGGTTAGGTGGCAGGGAAACTTACCTCTGTATATTCAGGTTAGGTGGCAGGGAAACTTACCTCTGTATATTCAGGTTAGGTGGCAGGGAAACTTACCTCTGTATATTCAGGTTAGGTTACCTCTGTATATTCAGGTTAGGTTACCTCTGTATATTCAGGTTAGGTGGCCGAGATGTGTTGTAGCTGTTTCAAAAATTGTGACGTTTATAGGTTAATGAATTATACTGCGGTTATTTTAATAACTTAAGGTTCAAATAATATGTACAGTATGTTGCTGTTTTGTAGAATAATTGTAGCAAATACTCTAAAAGACACTTACAGGATGCTGTGGAAAACTAAGCGGATAGAGCACGGTCTGAGGAGAATGTGGGGCAAAACAGCCACCTGGGACAGAACACTACCCCACATTGTGGGGGACATCAGGGAGTTTAGACACCAGATAAACATAATCTGCTGTGAAATGCAGCACTTCATATCACAGGTTACTATGGTTACTAGCACTTCATATCACAGGTTACTATGGTTACTAGCACTTCATATCACAGGTTACTAGGGTTACTAGCACTTCATATCACAGGTTACTATGGTTACTAGCACTTCATATCACAGGTTACTATGGTTACTAGCACTTCATATCACATGTTACTATGGTTACTAGCACTTCATATCACAGGTTGCTATGGTTACTAGCACTTCATATCACAGGTTACTATGGTTACTAGCACTTCATATCACAGGTTACTATGGTTACTAGCACTTCATATCACAGGTTACTATGGTTACTAGCACTTCATATCACAGGTTACTATGGTTACTAGCACTTCATATCACAGGTTACTATGGGTACTAGCTTGTGGTTATTATTTTTACAAAGGTATAGTACAGGGAAATCCGTCTGAAAAAATCGATCTGCTGACACACGAAGCTTTCATAGGATTTTTGACGTTTTTGAGTCCCATTAGGTGCCCTTTATGGCTAACCAACTTTTCCAAACTTTTCCACGTGGCTTAAGGCCGCTTTTTGCCACTTTACCACTTTTTACCACCTTTCTTGTTTGTCAAATATCTTTAGTTGTGAACATCGTAAAAGGTTGCGAATCAATCGAGTGTGTTCATATTATCAGGAAGAAAAACTTTTGTTCTAACAATTTTTACGTCAGATAATAAGTTAATTGGATCAATTAACCAATTAGCAAAATTCTAAACATTTTTTATTGGCTAAAAATGATCGGAATAGCTTAAAACACGGAGAAAAGTAGTTTTTAGAAAAAATTTGAAAATTTTTCACTTACATTTTTTTTTCGAGACTTCGAAAAATTTCGAAAATTCAAAATATTTTTTTCCGCCAAAAGTGATCAAATTGCATGAAACGCGGAGAAAAATGGTTTTCAAAAAAAAACTTAGTCAATTTTTCGTTTCAAGAATACTTAAATCACCAATATTTGTAGTTGGAGTTTAGTAAATCTCGGCAGATTTTAGTAATAATCAGGAATTACTAACTCTAAGTGGAAAGGTCTGAAACTGAAAAACGTTAAGTTTAACCATACGATCGTGATATAAGAGTTTCATAACTAATTACAATTTCATAACTAATTACAATTGCATAGTAAATATGGTTACTACTCCTATATATCATATTATTTGATTGGTATTCGATTTCTGATTATTTCTCTAGGAATATGATTATTATATCTCAATTTGGCTTTAGGTAGGGTGCCCCGCTAAAAGAACTGGATTCTTCCAGGAAGCATCCCGTGCACACACCTTGGTCTACATATATATTAAATTATTAACCATTCATTCTGTATGTGCACGAAAACTTATTTCAATCAATACAGCCTTATCGATTTTCACAGAAACTGCACCAATGGCACAGTCAAGATCGAAACGATAGCCTGCTGTACTGTCATTTTATTGATTTCAATGATGAATCAGTGGGGTTAAGATTTGTAATAAATAAAACCTCTCTGTACCGTCAATTGTGCTAATCTAAACCGGCCTACCTGTATTACCAGACCTCTTCTTTTCCTCAACAATCAAACCGAGTTGTTCATATCGCATTTGGTGGGTGATGTAAACTAAGTAGTAATACATATCGAGCTATATTCAATCACAATACGACACAATGCAACACGTGTATATTATATTATGGCCCTTAATGAGGTATATGAAATGTTCTATACCGTACACTTCTCGTTTCTCCCGTGAGAGGCCCGATATGGAGAGGTTTTACAGTATATCACGAAAATGTCTACTTGGTCTCATGGCTCTTTGACAGCTCAAAGAAGGCAAGAAAAGACCAAAAAGCTTAGAATGTCAACTCGCAAGAGCGGGCTACCGGACAACTGAACCCAATTTAGACATTTAGATTAACCCTAACTCTAACCCTAACCCTAACCCTAACCCTAACCTTAACCCTAACCAATTAAGCTGATTGGTTAGTGGGAACTAGGTTCAATTGGGTTCAGTTGTCAGTCTTCGATCTGTCCCACATTAATCCCGAGCTGATCATCATGGGCCCCGAATATCCTGCGGGAAGAACCTGTATTTTTACTTCACGACGTCCGGATTTCAAATCAACATCCTCAATAACATTAACAATCCTTCCTGATCAGGATCTGTCTCTATTAGCAATTTCAAAAATATCCTGACTCTCGTGGAACATTTCACTGAATTAATTATTACCGGTTCTTTACTACCCCTTGCCCAACACTGTACTCGTATCTAAATCTTACCCTTTCCCGTATGTTACCCTTGTTGATTTTACTTTTAGCCGACCCTGACATATGGGGGTGATTTGAGGTATCCTGCAAATGAAGCGGTATGCAGTACAATACAAAACAGTTACAGTAGATGTTGGAAGGTGTATTTACACTTGCTTCCTGGACCTGGCTGTTCCTCAGTTTCCCTGATCTGTTCTTGCCCTTCTTCGAACTGTAAATGGGCCATGAGACCAAGTAGACTTTTTCGTGATAAACTGTAAAAACCTCTCTATACCGGGTTTCTCACGGTATAAAGCGTTTCATAAACCTCATTAAGAGCCATATAATATACACGTACTGTGTCGTATTGTGATTGAATATAGCTCGATATGTATTACTACTTAGTTTACATCACCCACCAAATGCGATATGAACAACTCGGTTTGATTGTTGAGGAAAAGAAGAGGTCTGGTAATACAGGTAGGCCGGTTTAGATTAGCACAATTGACGGTACAGAGAGGTTTTATTTATTACAAATTTGATTATCTTAACCCCACTGATTCATCATTGAAATCAATAAAATGACAGTACAGCAGGATATCGTTTCGATCTTGACTGTGCCATTGGTGCAGTTTCTGTGAAAATCGATAAGGCTGTATTGTAATTAGTTATGAAACTCTTATATCGCGATCGTATGGTTAAACTTAACGTTTTTCAGTTTCAGACCTTTCCACTTAGAGTTAGTAATTCCTGATTATTACTAAAATCTGCCGAGATTTACTAAACTCCAACTACAAATATTGGTGATTTAAGTATTCTTGAAACGAAAAATTGACTAAGTTTTTTTTGAAAATCATTTTTCTCCGCGTTTCATGCAATTTGATCACTTTTGGCGGTAAAAATTGTTAGAACAAAAGTTTTTCTTCCTGATAATATGAACACACTCGATTGATTCGCAACCTTTTACGATGTTCACAACTAAAGATATTAGACAAACAAGAAAGGTGGTAAAAAGTGGTAAAGTGGCAAAAAGTGGCCTTAAGCCACGTGGAAAAGTTTGGAAAAGTTGGTCAGCCATAAAGGGCACCTAATGGGACTCAAAAACGTCAAAAAACCTCTGAAAGCTTCGTGTGTCAGCAGATCGATTTTTTCAGACGGATTTCCCTGTACTAGTAGGTTTATCTGATGACTTAAGTAACTGGCAGTAGTAGTTACTTTTTAATAAAACAAATATTTAATAAAACAAATATTTATTTTTACGGCACAATCAAACAATATCAATAATAAATAAATCAGGGGAGGTTTGAAGAGGTTTCAAGTGCCGAAGGCCACTGCTTATCTTTAGGATTTGAGAGTGACCTGTGCTTGAAACCCCCTCAACCATCCACTACGTCAATATATTTGTTATACAAATATAGAAAAATATAATAATATAAAATTACTTATTGGTTTAGTTTGGTGACATAGATAGGAGAGCCCAGTTGAGTTTTAGTTTAGGTTTAGGTTTTAAATTATAGTTTAAAAGGTTAGCCATGTTTCATGGCAGAGAGAGATATCATGTGTGCAGAGCCGTACCACTGGTTATTATCCAGCTGTAGTAGGCATTCTGGTGGAACTTTGGTAACGAGCTAGTAGTTACTAGATCAGTAACTAGTTACTAAATTAGTAACTAGCTAGTAGTTAGTTAGCTGTTTAACTTTCAGGTACAATACTACATTAACTTTGAAGTGTTGGAATGCTCGTGGAAGGAGTTGGAGAATGCTGTAGACACAGCTGAGAATCTGGACCATATCATTGAGGCCCACAAGAGGTTCCTAGGCATAGTGAGTGAGCGACTCATGCTCAACCAGGAGCATCTACAGGTTTATTAGTTTATTAAATTAGTTAATTAGTTAATTAGTCAATTAGTTAATTTAATCATTGAGGCCCACAAGAGGTTCCTAGGGATAGTGAGTGAGCGACTCATGCTCAACCAGGAGCATCTACAGGTGAACTAGTCAATTAACTAATTAACTAATTAGTTAATTAGTTAATTAAATCATTGAGGCGCACAAGAGGTTCCTAGGGATAGTGAGTGAGCGACTCATGCTCAACCAGGAGCATCTACAGGTTAATTAGTTAATTAAATTAGTTTATTACGTTTATTTGTAGTGATAACAGAGGCACATATTAGGTGCGGTAAAAATCGAAATTATGCGGTACCGCACCCGACTATAAAGGTAAAATGTGCGGTAAGGTGCGGTAAATTTTTACCAATTATGCGGCGAATGTGCGACGATTTTTTCGAAATTTGTGCGGGAATTGTGCGGTTTTCATTTGTATTTTCTGAAGGACTTTGGAAATTCTAAACGTATAACCGCCGCTCTTATCAAAAATAGGTCTGTTTATGTGTTACTGAGGGTGTAGTTCTTTACTATGTCCATGATTGAACCTATATTGAGATTCAGTTATCTGAGAACAGTGACTTGATCTGGTAGAGATCAGGAGACAGTTATTTGAAGACGCCTCTTGAGTCTTGATAGAGTCGATCAGATCCCATGCGTGATCGCAAATATGTGACACGCTTGTTGGCATTGATCGTCAGTACTTGTAAACCATTTGATCCAAGATCCATTAAGCCCACTATAAAGCCAACGCTACAACGAATAGAGCTCATTACCCGATAAAAAGGGCTGCAGGTATGATCGAAGTACGGTAACGACGAGGGTTCCATAACGGCCTGGGTCACGGTCCCGAAAGGGCCTGGGTAACGGTCCCGAAAGGGCCTGGGTCATGGACCGTCATGGTCCCGAAAGGGCCTGGGTCACGTGGTAACCGGGTCACGTGGCCTAGGCATGGTTTCCAAAAGGGCCTGGGTCACGGTCCCTAAAGGGCCTGGGTCAGGGTCCCGAAAAGGCCTGGGTCACGTGGTAACTGGGTCACGTGGCCTAGGTATGAGTTCCAAAAGGGCCTGAGTCACGGTCCCGAAAGGGCCTGGGTCAGGGTCCTGAAAGGGCCTGGGTCAGAGTCCCGAAAGGGCCTGAGTCACGGTCCTAAAAGGGCCTGAGTCACGGTCCTAAAAGGGCCTGAGTCACGGTCCTAAAAGGGCCCGACTTTTAACATATTTTGGTTTTTACACTCGAAAATCTTAACGCGAAAATTTCAAAATTATGCGAAATTAAGCGGAAAATGCTAGATTATGCGGAAATATGCAGAAAATTACAAAATGTGCGGAAGTGTGCGGAAAACAATAAATTATGCGGAAATGTGCGGAAAACGGTAAATTGTGCGATCCCGCACCCATCGCACCTAATATGTGCCTCTGAGTGATAATGTGTCTATCTAGTTGAGATTTAAGGTTTCAGAATTCCACATACATGTATCATGGCATACCTCCCATACTAGCTGATATTAATACTTCTTTAAATAACAATAATTTATGTTGCAGGTCCTGACTAAGTTGTATGCTAATTATAAGAACGCTATTAACTTTATGGACGCGTACGATAAAGCTCATGAAGTACTGAAGAAAGCGAATATTATCAGAGCCAAGAGGCATGATAGTATGAACTTGAAAACTAAGCAAGGTAACCATAGTAACCTGTGATATAAAGTGCTAGTAACCATAGTAACCTGTGATATGAAGTACTGAAGAAAGCGAATATTATCAGAGCCAAGAGGCATGATAGTATGAACGTGAAAACTAAGCAAGGTAACCATAGTAACCTGTGATATAAAGTGCTAGTAACCATAGTAACCTGTGATATGAGTACTGAAGAAAGCGAATATTATCAGAGCCAAGAGGCATGATAGTATGAACTTGAAAACTAAACAAGGTAACCATAGTAACCTGTGATATAAAGTGCTAGTAACCATAGTAACCTGTGATATGAGTACTGAAGAAAGCGAATATTATCAGAGCCAAGAGGCATGATAGTATGAACTTGAAAACTAAACAAGGTAACCATAGTAACCTGTGATATAAAGTGCTAGTAACCATAGTAACCTGTGATATGAGTACTGAAGAAAGCGAATATTATCAGAGCCAAGAGGCATGATAGTATGAACCTGAAAACTAAACAAGGTAACCATAGTAACATGTGATATAAAGTGCTAGTAACCATAGTAACCTGTGATATTATCAGAGCCAAGAGACATGATAGTATGAACTTGAAAACTAAGCAAGGTAACCATAGTAACATGTGATATGAAGTGCTAGTAACCATAGTAACCTGTAATATTATCAGAGCCAAGAGGCATGATAGTATGAACTTGAAAACTAAGCAAGGTAACCATAGTAACATGTGATATGAAGTGCTAGTAACCATAGTAACCTGTAATATTATCAGAGCCAAGAGACATGATAGTATGAACTTGAAAACTAAACAAGGTAACCATAGTAACATGTGATATGAAGTGCTAGTAACCATAGTAACATGTGATATAAAGTGCTAGTAACCATAGTAACCTGTAATATTATCAGAGCCAAGAGGCATGATAGTATGAACTTAAAAACTAAACAAGGTCCGATATGTTTATAAGAGGGGGATGTTTAAAATTAATATCTTATTTAAGTATCAAATTGTCAATTTAGAATTGTACTTTTGATACTGTGGACACAGGTCGAAACATAAATTTTGTTACAATGTAGTAAGAGCCAAAGCTAACACTATTTGTAATCAATTATGTGTGAAGAAATGAAAGGAACTGAAAACATCTGTAATTGTATATAATTTACAGGAGACTGGGGAATAAAGGCAGCTGACGAAGCAGCAATCGTACAAGAAGACAAGGAGTTCCAAGCTCAGTTGAAAGCCATCGCTAAAATATTTACTAACAATCAATCTACTTTCTCAACTTCTCTCCGAGACTTTCTCATGGCTCTCTCGTTGGTACGTTGTAATTAGTTAATTTATTTAATTATCTTATTATGTACATATAATTATAGTGGATGTAACATTTTAGTGTGCGTTGTATTTAAGAATTTACTGTATACTGATTTTAACCCGTTGTTTTATTTTCACCAGGAGGCTGACGATTCTATGAAGTTTTTGTCACTGAGAATTGATTTCAACGAGCACTACAAGCAAAAACATGGCAACAATTTCAACGGCCCTTACATTAACAGAACGAAATCAGTTGATGCGTGAAATTTGTTCACGAATATGAACTGTTATTATTTCGATATTTTAATACATTAACCCGTATTTATAATATCATGACTTTACTGTAGCTGTAGTGGAACTAAATTGTTTTTGGTATTTGAAGCATTCATTGATATTGACGATATTTTGTACAGTGTAGGAACTTTCTATATTTTGTATTAACATGTATTACTTTATTTCTTATCGCTGACTATTTGAACGAAGTATTCGTATTTTTCTCATTTCTGTCCAAGTGGCAATTGGTTATCTTTCAATAAACGGTCTACTCAATATTATAGCGGAAGACGCGTTGGTAAAAATAGAGATTTTGCTGCGCGGAATAATCAATTTATTCAAGCAATTTAATTAAGAAATAAAATGCGCGCGTTGGTAGATTTTATTATCATTTGTGCGCGGTCTTTTTTCTCTCTTGAAAATATCGTTAACGGCCCATTTGATAGTTCACCCTGGTGCTTTCCGTGTTTATTTCCTTTGCCAAACTTCGGCGATAAATGTTACAATGAACCCTTCATTAAATGCTAATAAACCAAATCAAACCAATTAATAACAAGAGCATGATCTGCTTCTATCCGCGGAAGTCAGCTAAAGGTAATTTCAATACACTCAGAGTTTTCTAGCTCTCACGTCCATTCTAATAGATGAACTACTTCGTCACATCACATGCAAAGTTCTGCAGTCTTCAGACTAGTTCTTCTTACCCTAAAATAATAATCCCAAGTGTTTGGACTCCCTGAGTTGTAGACAGTTTACTAACAATCCAGTCAAACCTAAGATCATAAGTGGATGGTGACGATTCAGTATGTCTTTTACTTGGGGGACCCCAGGCTATAATATTCATAAACATAGAGATTTGACGGAATGACAGGCTGAGCGCCGCCCAGTAATATGCAGTAATTCTGCTGGAGGTTCTCATTCAGCAGGGAGACCTGAGCTTCTGAGATAATCATTACATTCATAATAATCATTAAATTTATATGTTTGTAACATTCAATACTTTCCATTAAGCTATGAAGACTGCTAATCTGCGCTAAATTCTGTTAGATATTAATACTGCTGGATCGCAGTCTATCTAATATGCAGGTTTGTAAGTTAGTCATGGGGATAAGTAACCTCATTTTCATGCTATTTTTCTGTACATATTTGCCAAATAATAAACAACCTTAACTAGTTTAATAAGTAACACTGAGAAATTATAACAATCAGGTGCTCCTGCGAATACCAACTCCCTCCTGTGGAAGCAGCTCTGCCACTCTGTCTGGGTAGTTGGACAGCCTAGTGACATTCTTTGTAATTGTACAAGTAGGTTTACAATTATGAAGTATAATTTAACCAATTTACTAGATTAATTTTGGTTATACAAGGCCCGTAATTACTAAATAGGCTGGCTGGATGGAACAATTTCCCTTCTAAACTTCGTGAAAAGCTCCACAGATCATCTTAAATTGGGACATGTCCTGTGTGAGGGAGTGCTACATGATTATTTTTATAAGCAGTTAACTTGAGTGAACCCAACATTCTTCGTTTAGATTGGCAAGATAAGCCTGTTTGTTGGTCTCCTGAACTCATGAATTTTCATTCAGTTTGGATATAAAAAGGCAGAGTTGTGAGCCAAAAACCATATGCCCATATTTGGGCATACGCACCTAATTGAGAACTTTCGGCCCATAAATTGATCAAATTTCAATAATTAAAACTAACTTTATATGAAAGGTTAGCCTAAACTACTATACATATTGCCTGTGATATAGTATTTTATATCCCCGGGGTCAAATCCGTAAATATACCTACATTTTAATAAACTTGATCTCTCCCACTGTTGAAGAAAGTTTATCTCAGAAGATTTGTTAACTTTATTTACGTTTGTAACTAACATGACAAGTTCATCTAATATTGTAGCACAAAATCGTATTTGTCGTTAAACAGAACTTAAACTTCAAATTTTCACCTCAAATTCGCACCTCAAATTTTCGTGAATGGAATTATATTGCATTGTATATATGAAGGATGAGTAGCCAGCTGTATTTCAACGTATGAGATTTTCAGCAGAGGAACTTTATTAGAACAATCAACAAAACGAAATTTGTCGAACATGGGGCACGCTCAACTCAATTATTTTGCTGACGTATGTGACAAGAAGTTGGCAGATCTGATTGTTTTATTCACCTGCTATACCTCTACTGCAAGTAAGCTTCAGACGTAGGTGCTAGCAACTGTCCCTGATTGTTCTGATTCACCTGTTGCTCCTATACGTTACTCCCCTCAAGTTCACTATAAAAACCAGCCCCCAATCCCCTCAGTCATCACTCTACCAAGATGAAGATAATTCTAGTTTGTTTGCTGGCTGTTGCCCTAGCTGATGACCCTCTCAGAGAGGTCCTGAAGTCTCCCAGAGCTACACTGAACTTGTACTCTCAGTTCAAGGCTAAGAACCACCTGAAATTTAGCACTGGAGAGGATGTGATGAGATTTAGACTATTTAGAGCTAATGCTGAGCATGTTGCCGACTACAACGAGGACACTGAGGACAGCGCTGGATATGCTCTCAACAAGTTCTCCGCTATGACCCCCGGAGAGAAACAGAGATATCTGGGACTCAACATCACCTCCATGACACCCGGACCTGAGGACACCGTGCTGAGGAGTGGGGTGGGGAACCCTTCTAAACTTCTCTGGACTGACAAAGGCATGGTCACCCCTGTCAAAAACCAGGGAAGCTGTGGATCCTGTTGGTCCTTCGGAGCAGTGGGAGGTCTGGAGACAACCTACGCAGTGAAGTCCGGCGTTCTGAGGAACTTCGCCGAGCAGGAGTACCTCGACTGTGTGTTTGAGGGAAAGGATGACGGATGTGATGGAGGCTGGGTTGATAGATGCTACCAGTGGAGCGCACAGTATGGAGGAAGACTGGCTGCTACCAGAGACTACCCATACACTCAAAGGGACGGAAAGTGCTACTACAAACAGAAACCTAACGCTATGAAGGCATACAAGATGACAGGAGTAGAAAGAGTCAGCCAGTCAGAGGCTGCCCATATTGATGTCCTGCAGTTTGCTTCTATCGGAGTAGCCTTCCAGGTGACGGACAGGACTTTCCAGTACGATCACGAGATATTGAGAGACACGACATGTCACGGACACGCTAACCACGCCGTTTCCATGGTGGGGTACGCTCCTAAATACGTACTGGTCAAGAACTCTTGGGGCGCCGACTGGGGAGATAAGGGTTTCGTGAGGTTCGCTAGAGGCCACCACAATTGTCAACTCTTCAAGTATTCCAGCTATCCCAGACTGGAGAGCACTGGAGAAAGTGACTCAGGATCTGAAAGCGCCTCCGACTACACTCCTCCTGATGATGATGGAGACGACCCCTAGCCCCAACCCTGACCCCAACTGCAAGGACGTGGTTACTAACTGTGCCAAGTACAAGGACAGCTGTGGAAGGATCTACTGGGTCGAGTACATGAAGAAGAACTGTGCTAAAACCTGCAACTACTGCGAGGGAGACGATAATGGCGACGATTGTCCCAGTGGAACAGTGAGGTGCAGCGATGGAGTTTGCAGGCATGAACACATGTGTTAGATATTGTTAACATGGTAATTACTATTTAATTTCAAATCTTAATTATCCTTATCGTTTAACATGTGCTGATGTGCTATTGAACATTGTTAGTTAAATGTTATATATTTCTATTACATAACTATGTTCAATTTGTCGTTTCAGTATAACTTTTCAAAAGTCAAAAAATGTTCTACCTATAAGGTAGGTACTCAAATCGCCACCAAATACGATCATCTGTAATTCGATCTGACCACCAGGGTCTTCGTTTCGTGACCACCAACCGTTGTTGTAATCAGTGCCCAAGCCTGGCTGGTTTAAAAATAAAACTACCTCGACAGCTCTAAAATTCTAGCACTAAACTTAGTTTTTCTCTTTATACAGAATTTCGCGAATAGCGGGCTTTTTCAATGCAATATTTTTAAATTCTATTTAAATTTTTATGGTTTGAAATAACACCTCTCCACCATCATTGTTCCTTAATTGGTTAAGTTGTTTTAAAAATTGTATGTGTTTATCTCAAAGAAGAAGCTGCAAGCCGATATTCTTTTAACACCCGAACGTTTTAGCTGAGGACCTTTTGTTTCCTATCTAAAGAACATTTTGTTGAACAAAAGACACGGTCGATTCCATTAACTATCATACGTAGGTGGTAGCACCTGTTCCTGATTGTTCTAATTCACCTGCTTCCCCTCTACCTCCCCTCTATAGTTCACTATAAAAACCAGCTCCCTCCTCCTCAGTCATCACTCTACCAAGATGAAGATAATTCTAGTTTGTTTGCTGGCTGTTGCTCTAGCTGATGACCCTCCTTGTAGGGATGTGTACGATAATTGTGCCAGGTCGGTGCGCTACTGCAAGACTATCTCCATGATTAAGAACTGTGCTAAAACCTGCAACTACTGCAAGGAAGAGGATGACGAAGACGACTCTAACCCCTGCAGGGACACGGGTTTTAATTGTGCTAGGTCAGTACGCTACTGCAAGAGTTTCTCTATGATGCAGAACTGTCCTAAAACGTGTGGCTACTGCTAGGGAGACGATGGTGGAGTCTGTCCTAGTGTCCTAGTGGTACTATTAGATGCAAGGACGGGGTGTGCACACATAGACACATATGTGCCATTAAACATTGTTATCATATTAACTATTGATATTTCTAAAAAACCTAAGTTATTTCACTGTTTCTAGCCTAAAATACTTAAATAAATAAAATATTCAAACAATATACACATAATATAGCAATGACCCTATATAAAATTCTGTAAAAATGGTACAAATTTAGAAACTGATAGAAACAATATACACATAATATAGCAATGACCCTATATAAAATTCTGTAAAAATGGTACAAATTTAGAAACTGAGGTAAAAATAAAAATAAAACCCTTTGTAATAATATATATAAAAACCACTAAATCACATCACAACAAAAAGTAGTTTAGACCCCCATCCAACTAGAGCACTCCATGACCTTTTAGGGTTTAAGAGTGTTGATCAGGTTAAGGTCCAAATCACTTATTGCCGTGGGTGGAAGGGTTCTGGTACCTCTGTACCCCCTGATAGAGATTATACAGGTTCTGAGTAGATCAAAACGCAGTCTGCGTCTGACAAATGACATCACATCACAATACCGTTGGCCTTTCTTTAGGCTGATCTTTTCAGCGAGATGTTTTAGAAACTGTGAAGCCTCAGTTGCCATTCCTCCTGTAGTACTGAACACCAGTGGCGTGAAGGTAGCCTTTTCAACATTGAGGACTCTGTCATTGTACTCACGTTTTTTGCTTTTCTCGTGAGATTGGTACATCTGTGAGATGCTCTTGTCACTGTTGGACTGGGCTTGAGGGTGAAGTACCCTTACATCTGTGAATGCCCTGTCCAGCGGCGACCAAAACGATCTCGCACTGATGTCCAGTCTTGCACCATCCTGTCTATTTGTTCCATTAGATAGTTCAAGTGTGTGAGCCTAAAATACTTGGAAAAGGGGTTAAAAACGCAGTTTTTCCCAAAATTTTCGACTGCAGCATCTTAGGCATCCGGTGATCGTCGCCGTTCGACCTATATTAATATTATACAACCCCCAAAGATTTTCTTGCCTCACGCTGTGTACTTCGGCCATGTCGTATTGTCGTGTCTTTCGCCGCGTTATGAAATGAGGATCGCGACGTGAGACTAAGATTTACTCGATGGATCCTAACCTTGTCTGATAGCAAGAAATGAAAAGTGTTTCACGAATAATCGCCGAACAGCTAAATAGGACTAAATAAAAAGGAAGATATTTGTTTTTGTAAAACCAGCTTCTGAATCCTCCTCTGTTACTTCGCGTGAATCGTAATGCACAGCACTGAGCACAGCATTGGACACCGAACAGCTGACATCTTCGCGTATCATGGCTGCCTGCCATCTGCACTGACAATTATGCGCTTAATTTAGATTCGTTTAAAACTAAATCGACACATCTAAAAAACTTGGTTTTTGTCTTTAAATTGAATTTGGCAAATGATGGGACGGCAGGCTTTTTCGATGCCGCAATCTTTTAAAATCTTTATGGTTTAAAATAACAACTGTCCACCATCATTGTTCTTTAATTTGTTAAGTTGTTTCACAAATTGTGTGTTTTTATTTCACAGAAGAAGCTGCAAGCCGATATTCATTTAACACCTGAACGTTTAATCTGAGGACCTTTTGTTTCCTATCTAAAGAACATTTTGTTGAACAAAAGACACGGTCGATTCCATCAACTATCAGACGTAGGTGGCAGCACCTGTTCCTGATTGTTCTAATTCACCTGCTTCCCCTCTACTTCCCTCTATAGTTCACTATAAAAACCAGCCCCCTCCTCCTCAGTCATCACTCTACCAAGATGAAGATAGTTTTAGTTTGTTTGCTGGCTGTTGCCCTAGCTGATGACCCTCTCAGAGAGGTCCTGAAGTCTCCCGACCGGCCCATCTGTAGGGACGTGTTCGTTAATTGTGCCGAGTCGAAACGCTACTGCAAAACTGTTGACATGATTAAGAAACTTTGTGCTAAAACCTGCAACACCTGCGAGGGAGACGATGTCGGAGATAAGCCTAACACCGCCCCCGTATGTAGCGACGTGGGTTATCATTGTGCCGAGTCGAAACGCTACTGCAAGACTATTTCCATGATTAAGAACTGTGCTAGAACGTGCGGCTACTGCTAGGGGGTCGATGGTGGGGACTGTCCTAGTGTCCTAGTGGTACTATTAGGTGCAAGGACGGAGTTTGCACACATGGACACATGTGCCATTAAATATTCTTACTGTATTGACTACTAATATTTCTAAGACATAACTATGTTTAATTTGTCGTTTCACTATAATTTTTCAAAAATTGTTTGATACTAGCTTTAATAACTGGTAGCAAGAAATCAAAAGTATGTTACGAATAATCGCCGAATGGCTGAATAAGGCTAAATGAAAAGGGAGATGTTGGTAAAAATAAAACCTATCATTTTTAAAAACCACGCTCTGACTCCTTTAATCTCTATTACTTCGCTTGTTACAAAGCACATCATTGAGCGTATCAAGGCATCCTTCGCTAATCAAGGCATCCTGCCACTTAGTTGCGGTACCTGGCCCACTGACAATTATGTGCTTACCCTAAGGCTAATCTGTGTTCAGAAACAATCTTCCATTTTTCAATGTTAGAAAACCGAGCCAATTTTGAAGTGAAGGACCCACGGTATAGATCTACGAAGTGTTTCATTTTAACTGCTTTGGAACATTATAGATTTTGCGCCACTTACAATTCATGTCACTTTCAATTTGTTACATTTTGCAATTCGGGTGAAAGACCACGCAACTAAATTCTGCACAGTACAGGAATAATGTATTTGCAAGTAGGTGAGGGGGTAGGGGGGTAAACAAGTTTAAACTGCTAGAATACCATGCATTATCTACCGGGGGAGATTGTTATGTTGTACTTGTAGAGCGTTGAGTAATGCGTCACTATGGTAACTATGATTGTCTATGATGCATGAGACTAAGAGTGCAGAGTAGAGCGTATAGTAGAGCGCAGAGTAGTAGTAGTGCGATATAAAAGAACCCAATTAAACTAGATCCCCTTTATAATTTTATACTTCTAAAGAAGCATTTTCCCGATTATATTTAGATCACTTTGATTTAGCTGTTTGGTTTAGTGCTTATTCGCGACATCGTCGACATTTTCATAAATTTGATTTCTTACATACATTACATTTATTTTTAACTAGCTATTATTATTTGATTTTGTAACTGTTTGAAATTGAATTCTGAAAAGTGAAACGATAAGGATAATTAAGATTTGAAATTAAATAGTAGTTACCATGTTAACAATATCTAACACATGTGTTCATGTCTGCACACTCCGTCGCTGCACCTCACTGTTCCACTTTTGCAATCTCCACCGTCTCCACCTTCGCAGTGGCCGCATGTCTTAGCACAGTACTTCTTCATGTAGTCCACCCAGCCGTTACTCTGACAGTAACTCTTCCACTTGGCACAGTCAGAGTTCACATCCTTACAGTTGGGGTCGGGCTTGGGGCTGGGGTCGGGGTTGTTTCCATCATCATCAGGAGGAGTGTAGTCGACGGCGCTATCAGATCCAGAGTCGCTTCCTCCAGTGCTCGCCAGTCTGGGATAGCTGGAATACTTGAAGAGCTGACAATTGTGGTAGCCTCTAGCGAACCTAACGAAACCCTTATCTCCCCAGGTGGTGCCCCAAGAGTTCTTGACCAGTACGTATTTAGGAGCGTACCCCACCATGGAAACGGCGTGGTTAGCGTGTCCGCGACATGTGGTGTCTCTCAATATCTCGTGATCGTACTGGAAAGTCCTGTCTGTCACCTCGAAGGCTACTCCGATGGAAGCGAACTGAAGGACATCAATGTGGGCAGCTTCTGACTGGCTGACTCTTTCTACTCCTGAGATCTTGTATGCCTTCATAGCGTTAGGTTTCTGTTTATAGTAGCACCTACTATCCCTCCCCTTGTATGGGTAGTCTTTGGTAGCAGCCAGTCTTCCTCCGTACTGTGCGCTCCACGAGTAGCATCTATCAACCCAGCCTCCATCACATCCGTCATCCTTTCCCTCAAACACACAGTCGAGCCACTCCTGCTCGGCGAAGTTCCTCAGAACTCCAGATTTCACTGCGTAGGTTGTCTCCACACCTCCCACTGCTCCGAAGGACCAACAAGATCCACAACTTCCCTGGTCCTTGACAGGGGTGACCTTGCCTTTGTCAGTCCAGAGAAGTTTAGAAGGGTTCCCCACCCCACTCCTCAGCACGGTGTCTTCAGGTCCGGGTGTCATGGAGGTGATGTTGAGTCCCAGATATCTCTGTTTCTCTCCGGGGGTCATTGCGGAGAACTTGTTGAGAGCATAGCCAGCGCTGTCCTCAGTGTCCTCGTTGTAGTCGGCAACATGCTCAGCATTAGCTCTGAACAGTCTAAATCTCATCACATCTTCTCCAGTGCGAAACTTCAGGTGGTTCTTAGCCTTGAACTGAGAGTACAAGTTCAGAGTAGCTCTGGGAGACTTCAGGACCTCTCTGAGAGGGTCATCAGCTAGGGCAACAGCCAGCAAACAAACTAGAATTATCTTCATCTTGGTAGAGTGATGACTGAGGAGGTGGGGGCTGGTTTTTATAGTGAAGTAGAAGGGGAGTAACGTAGAGGAGCAACAGGTGAATCAGATCAGTGATGGACAGGTGCTAGCACCTACGTCTGAAACTTAATTGCATTGAATCGACCGTCTATTGTTCAACAAAATGCTCCTTTGGTAGGAAACAAAAGATCCTCAGCTGAAAATTTCAGGTGTTAAATTTAAATTAGCTTTCTGTGGGATAAACACACACAATTTATACAACAATCTAACAAATTAAGGAACAATGATGGTGGACAGGTGTTATTTCAAACCATAAGAATTTAGATTTCACAGATTTCATAGATTTCATAGATTTCAAAGATTTCATAGATTTCATAGATTTCATAGATTTCATAGATTTCATAGATTTCATAAATTTCATAGATTTCATAGATTTCATAGATTTCATAGATTTCATAGATTTCATAGATTTCATAGATTTCATAGATTTCATAGATTTCATAGATTTCATAGATTTCATAGATTTCATAGATTTCATAAATTGCATAGATTTCATAGATTTCATAGAGTTCATTTTACCAAAACCCATATTCATGGGTAGAGTGGACCGCTGCCAGTGTCTCTCTTTCCCAAACAAAAAGAAATGATATTAATTTGATTGACCGTTCTCAAATGCAAAATGATACCGAGAATGAAATCGGTCGCTCGCTTTTTCCATTCATTCACGGCTTACGAATTGTAATAAATTTCGATTGATTACATCAGTCAGATGCTGTAAAAATCTCTTTGGGTTGCGTTCGGATCGATACCTAGTATTTCGGGGTAAGGGTAGTAGTTATTGCTTATTGAATTAGCTGAAGTTTATTGAATCTTTATTGCCGAGTACAGCTGCCTTTGGGTAGATCTTCTTAATCTATTACAATTGTAAATGAATGGGAAAAGCGAGCGACCGATTTCATTCTCGGTATCATTTTGCATTTGAGAACGGTCAATCAAATTAATATCATTTCTTTTTGTTTGGGAAAGAGAGACACTGGCAGCGGTCCACTCTACCCATGAATATGGGTTTTGGTAAAATATCATCTCTTTTTGATTATAATGTCAGGGTACTTTATAAAGTCGAAATATAAACTGATATCTTCATTAATTAATAAGGAGGAAGTTTCAACGATTTCGAAATTTTCCTTTAAAAACATTTCCTTGTGTTTAGGTAAGCATATCGGTCGATCACTGACTGAATATGCCACCTAATACTCATTCAAGTTGGCATTAAATTCATATATAATGACATTAAACTGTCGTGGCAAAGCAGAATTTGTTGGAAATCACGAATGAGCAAAATTCTCACCTTTCGCACGTGCAAACTTTGAGCGGACGTTGCGTGCGCATCCAATATTGAATCGCCGTAAATTTTTTCATGAAATTGTTTTATATATAGCTTGATAAGCATGCAAAGTTTCAAAGTATTTCAAGAAGAACTGTAATCACAACGGCACTCTAAAGTTGACCGAAAATGACGAAAACAGCAATTTTCAGTGATTTTAGCAATTTTCTATCAATTTGGGCGTGTCCCCACGTGTGCAACTTTTCGATTTTCAACTTCAAAACTAGCCTAATGCACAATTTATACCTATAGGAAGCAGAACTGAGCTCCTCAACTCAAGGCATGGCCCAACACCAGAGAATACTAAATCGCAAAATTGACGTTTTTATAAAATAATTCTTCAAAAAAGCACAAACTTCAATGACGAATATCTTCATGAAGGAGCAAGCTAGAAAAACTTTCCGGTAGATTTTCAGAATGCTTGAACAATTATCTAAGGTGAAAATCTCCTCAGATTTTGAATAAAATTACTCCTTAATGGTTTAAAATTAATTTTAAAAGTTATTACTTTGTCAAAAATCAAGTTTTAAAAACGGTTAACTTGATGACGTCATCAAGGGGTGTTTATGACGTCAAATAATTTTTGTATACAATGTAAACTAAAGTGTAAACAATTATTTGCAAGACCTGTGGTCGGAAATGGCTTTATCTTTTATACTTTTGAATCTATGGACAATTAAATACAGGCTACAATTGACTGGCAAAGCGTCTATCCCTGAATATGTATGTATATATATATATATCACGACAATCTGTCGTAAAACAGGGGTTCTAGAAAACCCATTTCCCGATACTCCTGAAACCTGAAACTTTTTTTGCAGTCGATTTGATCAACGTCTAGACGCCCTGAAAAATTTCAGATCTCTAACTCAATTTTAACATGGTTTTTAAGGCACCTGAATATGGCGATTTTGGGTTTTTTACCGAATTTCGTATAACAGTGCTCTGGCGAGTATTTTATGCAAATTTCTTAAAAATCTCAACATAACTATTTTTTATTCCTGTCATCTTTGACATCAAATTAGAATGTTTTGAACTAAAAATAATTCTGCTTAACGACTTCCGATGAGTCTTAATGCCTGGAAAACTCCTGCCGGAGGCGGCGGCCTTCGGCCGCCGCCTCCGGCCGGAGTGCACGCTTCGCGTGCACAAAAGAGGCTTGTAACGTGTACCAAAGGGGGTATAATAGTAAAGGGGGTATAATAGTAAAGGGGGTATAATAGTAAATGGGGAACATAGTATACCCACAATAAATGCAACGGTCGTGCTTGCCAGCACTGTGATAGATTTTGGGACGGATTTTTGATATTTTTCATAGAGACATCAGATTTTAAGATTTTTAAACAAACAAATCAAAAATTGCTTAAAATAGGGTTAAAACGACAGAATTTTCGCCGGTAGCACTGCTAAAATACATGTTGTCCGAAAGTCCCTCCGAAGTCCGGTGATCGTTACGTCTTGCTGAGGCTCTTCGAGTCTTGATGGACTCGATCAGCATATGGGATATGAAACTTCGCTTCGCTCGGACGGAAATATTTATAAATTTCATACTAGATCTTTTCTGACATTCATAGATTTCATTTTTTAAATCACCTGGACACCCTGATTACGTTAAAATAACCTCCCATCATCCTTAGGTTAATTTCATTCGCTAAAATTCTAGGTGCTAATTCTATTTAAAGACAAAAACTAAAATTTGTGCTAGAATTTTCAGATGGAGGTGTCGAGTTAGTTTTAAGCGAAATTAAATTAACACATTTTCTGGGGTAGTCACATCTGCTGAGTATGGTGTTGGGAGGAGAGGTCAGCCATTACCATCACTAGCAGGTCTCGCTGGTCAAGTTGAATAATTTTATTATAATTATACATAAACGAAATTTGTCAAACAAAAGGCAATTCAATTTGCATACGTATGCGGCAAGAAGTCATGGCAGCTCTGATTGTTCTGATTCACAGCTGCCGCCCCTCTACTTATTTATAAAAACTAGTCTTCTCCTCCTCAATCATCACTCTACCAAGATGAAGATAGTTCTAGTTTGTTTACTGGCTGTTGCCCTAGCTGACGACCCTCTCAGAGAGGTCCTGAAGTCTCCCAGAGCTACACTGAACCTGTACTCTCAGTTCAAGGCTAAGAACCACCTGAAGTTTAGCACTGGAGAGGATGTGATGAGATTTAGACTGTTCAGAGCTAATGCTGAGCATGTTGCCGACTACAACGAGGACACTGAGGACAGCGCTGGATATGCTCTCAACAAGTTCTCCGCAATGACCCCCGGAGAGAAACAGAGATATTTGGGACTCAACATCACCTCCATGACACCCGGACCTGAAGACACCGTGCTGAGGAGTGGGGTGGGGAACCCTTCTAAACTTCTCTGGACTGACAAAGGCAAGGTCACCCCTGTCAAGAACCAAGGAAGCTGCGGATCTTGTTGGACCTTCGGCGCAGTGGGAGGTCTGGAGACAACCTACGCAGTGAAGTCCGGAGTTCTGAGGAACTTCGCAGAGCAGGAGTACCTCGACTGTGTGTTTGAGGGAAAGGATGACGGATGTGATGGAGGCTGGGTTGATAGATGCTACAAGTGGAGCGCACAGTACGGAGGAAGACTGGCTGCTACCAAAGACTACCCTTACAATGAGAAGGATGGACGGTGCTACTACAAACAGAAACCTAACGCTATGAAGGCATACAAGATGACAGGAGCAGTTAAAGTCAGCCAGTCAGAGGCTGCTCACATTGATGTCCTACAGTTCGCTTCTATCGGAGTAGCCTTCGAGGTGACGGACAGGACTTTCCAGTACGATCACGAGATATTGAGAGACACGACATGTCGCGGACACGCCAACCACGCCGTTACCATGGTGGGGTACGCTCCTAAATACGTACTGGTCAAGAACTCTTGGGGCGCCGACTGGGGAGATAAGGGTTTCGTGAGGTTCGCTAGAGGCCACCACAATTGTCAACTCTTCAAGTATTCCAGCTATCCCAGACTGGCGAGCACTGGAGGAAGTGACTCAGGATCTGATAGCGCCGTCAACTACTCTCCTCCTGATGATGATGGAAACAACCCCGACCCCAGCCCCAACCCCGACCCCAACTGTAAGGATATAAACTCTGACTGTGCCAAGTTTAAGGGCAAGTGCCAGAGTAACGGGTGGGTGGACTACATGAAGAAGTACTGTGCTAAGACATGCGGCCACTGTGGAGGAGGGGATTGTCCCCGTGGAACTGTGAGGTGCAGCGACGGAGTGTGCAGACATGAACACATGTGTTAGATATTGTTAACATGGTAACTACTATTTAATTTCAAATCTTAATTATCCTTATCGTTTAACTTTTCAGAATTCAAACAGTTACAAAATCAAATGATAATAGTTAGTTGAATATATGTAAGACATCAAATTTATAATGAAAATGTTACGGATGATCTTTAAACTGAACAGCTAAATGATTAAGTATAATTGGAAAGACAATACTTCTTGTGATGAAAAATTATAAATACATAAACATGATTCAGTCCAAAGAGTTTTGCTTAATTACTTTACCAAAACTTTCGTCCCACAAAGGTCATATTTGGAATTGGGTATATTTTATTTGTCAGTGCATTTCCGTAAT